ATGATAGAGTTTATGAAATGTTGCACCGGTCAGGGTTTTATGGAGTGCACCGTGTGCAACCTATCCGATTAGACCATGGTCTAATCACTTCTCTTGTTGAGCGTTGGAGACCGGAGTTACACGCATTTCAGTTTCCTTTCGGTGAGATGGGTATCACCTTACAGGACGTGGAATGCTTACTAGGACTTCCGATTGATGGACTCCCCGTCATGGGCTTTGATTTAAATATTGAGGAACGAAATGTCTTATTTAGAGATGTTTTGATGTGGACCACCGATGACACCCATTTTGGTCGTTTTGACCAATTCAAGATTGCCCTTATTTTTTAGGGACAAACCATTCAACCAAATAATGAATGGCCTGATCAGATGGTGGCTCAATATACCGTTAGGCTCATATATGCTTATATGGGTGGTTTATTATTTCCAGATTCTTCGGGTACAGTTCCCGGAGCGGTTGCTGCAGAGGTTCGAGACAGCCTAAGGGGTGCATTAGAAAATGTTGACCGCAACGAGATGAGCTTGTTGAAGACGAAGATGAAGAAATGCATGGAGACGAAGATGAGTTTGATGCTGACGAGGTCGAGACTGGTCCATATTTCCCCCAAACTGACAACACTCAACCCGGACAAAGTACCCAAGAAGATCTTTTTGGTGGGACACAATTTGACACACGCGGTTTGGGTGATGATAACTTCGCATCCTCGTCCATGCCGCATGACTACGATAACATCCCGGTGATGGATTATTGGTTCAATCGTGGATTTAATTAATTTTATTGTAATCATGGATTTTTGTAATTTTTTATTTTTTATTTTTGGGTCATGTAATGGATTCTACTTTCTTTTACTTAAAATATTTTTGTTCTTTTAATTTTTTAATTCATGTAACTCTACTTTATATTAATTAAAAAGTAAATTTCGCAATAAAAAAATTAGGGCCAAAAGATTTAAAATTTTAAAAATTTTGTAACCCGGATTATTCTCACGGTGGCGATGATTTAAACATCGATTATTTCTCCATTGCCCGGTTCATTTTCGGAAAAGTACGTGTGGATCCGGAGTACAAAGTGAAGTTAATTCAACATGATGTTTTACAGGAATTTCATGTTCCTGTATCGTATAAAAAATGTTGGTTAGCTCGGATCCGTGCTACAGAGTTGTTGTACGGTAGTTGGGAGAATTTGTATTCTCAACTTCCTATTATGTTGTACAATTTACAAAATTCTTATCCAAGAACTGTAGTCGATGTTGTCTATGCAACTGAACCGCCAAACCTTAATGCCACGCCTGAAGAGACCCCGCGCTTTAAGTATGCATTTTGGGCTTTCGCCGCGGCAATACATGGATTACAATACTGCATGCCTGTAGTGACGGTGGACGGAACTCATTTGTACGGAAAGTATAAGGTTCATCTCCTTCTTGCGGTTGCCATGAATGGTAATCGTGAAATCTTTCCTCTGGCTTATGCTGTTGTTGACGGACAAACATGTGAGAGTTGGGCTTGGTTTTTTCGCCTTCTTGTTTAGAGGGTTATCGGCTCACAACAAGTCTGTATTATTTCTGACAGACATATTGGAATCATCAACTCCTATCGTGACCTTCCAGAACTACAGACCGGATTGATAATGAAACGTTTTTGTCTTCGCCACGTTCGGAGCAACTTCATGACAAAGTTCCGGAACAGTGATCTTAAAAATTTGGTTTGGGCCGCTGGTAGTACTCATAATATCCAACAATTTGAAGGATATATGGCTGAGATACGAAACATGAGTGAGGAGGGATATAAGTATTTAAATGATATTCCCCGTGCGGCATGGACCCTTTGTTTTGATGGTGGGTTTAGGTGTGGTATCTTAACGACAAATAGTTCTGAGAGTTTCAACAATATGCTGAAAGGTTGCCGAATGTTACCTGTCACTGCCATTTTATCCATGTCTTATGCCAAGATGGTTGAATTGTTTGCTAAAAGGTACAAGCTTGGTATTCAGTGGCAAGAACAGAGCATGCACATTACTCCGAAAATTAAAAATGTTCTCCTTAATCGGGAGAAAACTAAGCACAAGTGGACAGTCTCAAGCTACGGTAACAACCAATACGTAGTGACTCACACATCTCGAACAGATCCTTCTTCTGTTTACAGCTACTTGGTCAATTTGTTTAGTAGTGTATGCACTTGTGGGCAGTGGACTTCTGATTGTATACCGTGTGTTCATGTTCATGCTGTTTACCACTCTTTTTGACAACAAGTTCCTCACAACATATTACCGGCTAGGTACTCGGTTCAAAACTATTTGAGTTGTTATGGTGGTATAATTCAACCTGTTCTTTTCCCTCAAAATTTGGATGTTGGCAGCTTTAAGGTTCTACCTCCCAAACGGCCAACAGATGAGATTCCACGTTTAGGGAGACGTCAACGCAATCGATACCAGGGCGAGATAGATTTCAGGGCAAGGAGATGAATTTAGTTTATAATTTTTTTTAGTTTGTATCAGGGAAGGTATTGTAATTCTTGTTTATTTCAAATGTTGAGAATGTAATTTGCTGTTGATGTTTTAATATATTTATGTTTTCAATATTGCCTACTATTCGTTTAAAAAACAAGTTTCTGAAAATTATTTAGATTTTTTGTTTAAAATTTGATTTGTTTAAAAGACAAGTTTCTCTTTATTAAATTTCTATTGATTGATTTTTTTTAACAAATTAAATATTGAATCATAATAAAAAAAATTTATTAAAAAAAAATCTTTATGAAATCAGTCATCTGTGCAATTTTTGGAATGAAAATTTCAGTTTTATGAAAGCCATTTTTTAAAAATAATTTTTTTACAAAAAACGGCTTTGTGAAAACCAATTTTTATTTAATTTTTTTTTACAAAAAATGGCTTTGTGAAAGCCGATTTTCAAAAAAAAAATAAAAATAAAAATCGGCTTTACTAAAGCCGATTTTCCCTCTCAAGAAATGCATGCTCCAAATCTTCCCTCTGCGGGAATTTATTCCACTTGCTGGCTGCTGTAGTTGGCCGGCCAGCCAGGTCGCGCCACGTGGCAGCACCTGGTTGGCCGGATTTTGATCCGTTCTGAAATTTTTTTTCTAAAAATGCTAGCTTGCTCAAAATTTTATTCTGAACAACTTTTTCTTCTGTGCCGACTTCAAATTCCGAACCAATTTGGGTCAAACGAATTAGTTTTGAATTAAATCACTTTTTTTGGACTTTTTTTCACTTCAACAACTTCTTTTTAGTACAATTTCAATCCGTTTGACCTCAAATCTTTTGACGGGTTGCATCTCCACAATTGAATATATAATTTTCACTTCAAGTATTTTCATCATCTTTTTCTCCTTTGCTCCGCTGCATTTCATTTGCACAATCTTTTACACTTTTTGCACCACTTTTGACTCAATTTTTATTTTTTAAAAAACAAGACAAAACTTTTGTGCACTTTTACAATTACGAACAAAAACTTATTAAAACCATTGAGAAATTGATTTATTTGATCCAAAATTGGACAACAACACGTTAAATGTAGAGAAGATAAGTGCGTACAAAACGGACTTATTAGTTGTGCGACGGTATATATCATCACAAACTCCGGTCATAGTGTAACGTCTCGAAAATAGGCCTATCATAATTAATTAATTGATAATTAATTAATTACTGGGGAGGACCCAAGAATAAGTGATTTATAAAGTTTGTCAATTAATTTTGAAAATTATACCGTTGTGTAGAGTGTAATTGTGTGAGAGCAACGGTACAATCGTATCTTGATTTGGAGAAAGTTAGACCAAAAAGTGTACCCCGATTGGGACCATTTCTGTGTGAAATTAATTAGACTCCTACTAGCTGATTTATGCTGATTGCTAATCCAAATGACGTGGAAGCTTGTTGGCATCAAGTTCTTCCTTCTTGCTATATAAAAAAGGGGCATTCATCCTCATTCCTTCATCATTTCTTCCTATTCTTTTTCCTATGTGGTAGTAGTCTTCGTCGGAAGTTTCGCTGGAAAATTCCCAAAACCTGAACCCTTAGATATATTTATTGATTAGAATGTTCATATAGAACATTTTACGTTCATAAATGGCAATTTGGTTGAGTTTTGTTTTAGACATTGTTGATGAACCAAGAATTATAAACCTTCAAATTGCTGTTAAAACTTCGAAATAATGATACAAAAATGATCTATGAACATTGGAGAACATGTCTATATGGTTTAATTGAAGTTTGGTAGCCTAAAATGGTGTTTTCAAAAATTAGACCGAGGTTGAAGATGATGACTTGCAGAACGGTCGACAGCCGTGAGGAATGGTGGACCGTTCTGCAACCCACTAACGTTCCTGAACGTTACCAAGAACGGTTGGCCACTGACGGTAATGATCGACCGTTCTAGGCCCATTTGCACGGAGGCGGTAACAGTCGATCGTTCAATAGTTACGATCGACTGTCACGAGCTTTTCCAGCATTGAAAAATCCGATTATGAAGTTGAAAAATCCTATTATTGATACAATTCAACTATAAATCAGTATGAATATCATTTCCAAATTAAATATGATGTTTTGATAAATTGAAGAACCTTATTTGATGCATGACGATAAGCTAGGATGTTAATACTCGATGCTAGGCCGCTGTTTGTTATTAAATATTATGATGATTGTTATTGATTGTTGATTATAATGATTGAACCTTGATTAAAAACACGTATCTTGAATTAAATGATGAATATGAAAAATTAAGGTTATCTAGAAGAACTCTAAGATAGACCTTACGTGACCAATTTAGTTAGGCATTGCACATATGATGTCTGGTGGCTAGGGTTAAAATGTATGTATGGGATTTAAAAATCAAACTTGAGTATCCACTCGTTTGGGGTTTCAACCAACCTGATGGTAAGTAGACTAATGTTCGGTTTTGAGCGTGACCTATAAAACTTATAGGATAAAAAATATAGTTTATGTAATGCCCCAAAACACAGCCTAAAAGTTATATTGAATAATTATTCCATTAAACATATTTGTTTTTATTAAAATAAATTATTGATCGGCTTTGGGCTGAAATTGAATGGATTGATATCCAATATCATAATCTCGATGAAGCTCATGGAGATAAAATTTAATATGTTAATTGTTTGTGTGATCTTGACTAGAAACCAGAGTAAAGACCCAAATCAAGAGTAGATAATAAATTTGATTTAAGATTTGAACTTTTGATATGATTTATTTAAATAAATTATGAGAATAAATAATATGAATTGAATATGTTAATATTTCAAATAAAATACTAATTAAATCAATTTTGACTTTGGCAAAGTCAAATACCAAAAAATATGATGTCAAAAAAGTATGATAAATAGATATAAAAATTATATCAGTGGATAGAGTTTGATTGTCTGAGTGCAACAGTACAAGCAGATTTTATTTCAGATAAAGTTGAACTAAAAAGTGTACCTGATTGGGACCAAAATTAGTCCCAATTACAAAGAAGCGTAAGGAATCAAAATGTATTGCCACTCCCTCCACTAATGCGATTTGTGCTGATCGAGCAATGACGCGGCCTTGGCTTCTTCCTTAGCCTCTTCACTATAAAAGGAGAACTCATCCTTCTTATTTCTCCCCCAAACTGAGTGAAATTAGTATCATTGTGTTCTTGTGAATGTGGAGAACGCAATAATGTTGACTAGAGAGCCTGAGGTCGCCGAAAGAGCTGTGGTGTTCATCAGAAGTTTTGTTGGAATTTTCCCAAAACCTTTGTTTTAGCCCAAAATGTTGGATCACGGATTTACGCCTATGTCGTACTAAAGCCGTGTTCGTTTTATGACATGTTTTGATAATGCCAAACCACCGTGAAAATAAGAAGGCGTTGAACAAACTAAAGGCGAAGAAACATGGCATACTGATCAAATGAAACCGAGAACCAAGAACGAAGAACGAAGACTTAGAATTGAGTTGAGTCGGTCTTTAAGTGATCAAGACTGGCATTGACTTTACAAAATTGGCTCTCTAGGCTAATTGCATTTAAACACTTTTCATGCATCATTAAAACCATTTTTCACAAGTTTTTAACAAGCCAAAAACACTTGGAGTTTGCCCAAACTAAAAACCAAGTCGTCTGGCGTTCGGCTTTTAGAAACCGGCATTCGGCTTTCAGAAACCGGAGTTCGGCATTCGGTTATCGGCGTTGGTTTCGGCTTCCAAACCAACCAAGTAGTTTTTAACCTTTTATGATTGACTTCTACTTTTGGGCACATTTAAATAGTTCTCCAACCAAAACACTTCAAAAAACACCTTTCATTTTTGATCTTTTGGTGAAAACCATGTGAAACGACATAAACTTGGCTAGCCGTGGTTTTTACCTAAATGACGTGGTTTTTAAGATATTTCACTTGGTTTCTTTGTCAAATACAATAAATAAGTTTTTTCAATACTTGGTTTTTAAATTGGACAACTTTGATTTTTGACATCGGCTTTCGGCATTGACTGGCTAGCCAGCCCAACAACGATGTTGGACGTGCCAACAGTGCTATTTGGTGTTGGCACCTGAAAACAATGGTTTGGCACTAAGTTCTTCAACAGCGATGTTGGACTTTGTACGACGCTGTTGAGCCAAGCCTGAAATTCGAGAAGTTTTTTGAACAGCGATGTAGGAGTCTCTACATCGATGTTCAGCTCAAGCTAAGAAAAAATGAGTTTGGCATATTGTTTTTGAACAACGATGTTTGCCCAGCAACATTTATGTTAAGCCAAAATCTTCATTGGAAGGTTAAGCCTGAACAGGGATGTTCACTTGTGAACATCGAATCGATGTTGGCACTTGACCGTTTGGAAGATATTAAAGGCTAAAACTTTCCATGTTTGGAAGTCAAAACCCTGCACTGCGATGTTGTCTATCTCAACATCGATGTTGAGGTGACCGTTCAAGCTTCAAGTTTAAAAGTTGAAGCCTCAACAACGATGTTCAATTCTTGAACAGTGCTGATAGGCCTATTTTCAGCAGATCCCATTTCCAATTAAATCCCACAAATTATGTCAATCACCCTCACTCAACTCCCACTCATTCAAGCCTATTTTCTCACTATAAATTGGGGTGTTTGGCTCTGCTTTTCTCATCTAATTACTTCACAACTCATACTACTTCATTGCATTCCATTCTTATATTTTTTATAACTTTTAAGAGCCATTCTTGTGAAGTTTTTGTTGCATTCTTGAGCATTGTTAGTTTACTCAACATCCACTCTAAAAGAGAGTATTGTTCTTAAGTGTATTTGTGTTTAAGACACTTGTTAAGAGAAGGTGATTCTCTTGTTGGTTCGAAAGAAGGTTTGTTTCCTTTGAAGGTTCGTTGAGGTTTGTCTAACTCGAACTCTCAAGTTGTACGGGTTTGTTAAGCATCGTTAAGCATAACGTTGATAATGTAACTCGAGAGAGTCTCTCGGGAGGCTGGACGTAGCCACACGTTTGGTAGTCGGTGTTAGTCGTTGTGCTCATGCCTTAGAGGGGGGATGAATAAGGCGTTTGAAAACTTTTCGGAGTTTAATAAAAACGGTGTTGGCAGATGCGGAAGCAATATATAAAATGCAAAAATAAAGGCGTAAATAAAATGCACACTGATTTTATACTGGTTCGGGAACTCCCTACTCCAGTACCTCGAGGCTCGTCCTCAAGGATTTCTGAATCCACTAAGTCTCAGTCTCTTGAACTCCGTCAAAGCACCGCACTAGTTTGGCAAACAACCCTTGCCAATAGGATTCACTCTGAGATTTCACCATGGCTATCTCGAACCATTTACAATGAAGATTTAACGGCTATCTTCTACCGTTCCCCCAAGGATTTCCAAGGCTATCCTTGAACCTTTACCCAAGGATTTATACAGCTATCCTTAATCGTTACAACGTGAGAATTTAACGGCTATTCTCAACCGTAAGAAGGTGTGTTTGAAGAACACAAAATAAGATTCTACACAACAGCTAGAATATTAAAATGAAGAACAAAACTTAGCTGGTGTAGAAGGAAATTACACTCTCTCTAAAATACAATTCAAACTTATAAATATGAGAGTATATATAACTAGAAACACAAGCTCAAAGTGTGTGTATAAAAATCAGGAATTTAAGATTCTTAAAATAGCCAAAATATAGAAAATAATTAATAAAAGAATGAACACACTTAGAATATTAAGGGAGGATGTTTAGATCTTTATTTCTTGAAGAAATATAAAGGATTAGGCTTGTATTTATAGTGGAAGATGTTAATTAGCCGTTGGGAGGTGATTAGGATTGATTAAAGTAAAATTCGCAAATCAGAAACAGTAACCCAACGGTCACGGTAGGCCGATACCGTCCTCACGGTATCATGGTACCGTTCGTATGGTAGGGGGTACCGTGAGTGGCGGTACCTCGGTACCGTGTTCCACTAAAACTCCAATTGGCTCTTGCGGTACCTGGTGTCTAACGGTAATGGGGTACCGTGTTAACGGTATAGGGTACCGTACCGACGGTATGAGGTACCGTTTGGGGTACTGTGCCACTGTCCTACGTTTTCCAAAATTTCCTTAATCCTTCGTGTTTGAGTTTAAAACTTTTTAGATATTTGAAAATGTTTATGAGATGGTTTTAAACGTATTTTGTGAGTGCTTTTGAGCTTGTGAATATAGGTATATAAAGTCATATCCTTACATTGGTTTATACCTATATTCTACGCTAGTTTAGTGTTTCGACTTCATTCTTGAGTACTGAAACACTTAAACAAACGTTTAGCTCCTATATTGTTTGCTAACATCAAAACATGAGGCTTAGCAAACCAAGGCTAACAACGTTGTGGTGAGCCAGGGTAAAATCAGTGTGTCTTCTCCTTACATTTTACTTTCGCTCTTAAATTTTTTATTCCTGTGATTTTTCGTTTCAAACGCTATTCAACCCCGCCCCTCTCTAGCGTTAGGACTATTATTTAACACGAAGTAAGCCCTTAGATATAACTAGTGATTATAATGTTCATATAGCTTATTTCTATGTCCATAAAAGGTCGTTTGGTTGAGTTTTGTGTGTAACATGCTTGAAGAACCAAGAATTATAAACCTTGAATTTGTTGTTAAACTTCAAATTATTGATACCAAAATGATCTTTCAACTTTGGAGAACATTTCTATATAGTTTAATTGAAGTTTGGTGAATTAAAATGATGTTTTCGAAAATGGACCAGAGGAAGAAGACGATGAAGAGTAAACTGGTAATAAGCTACCGTCGGTACGGTAGCTAGGTACCGTTTGCACGGTCGAACATCCTTCCACTCTTTACCGTCCTATAACCAGATACCATCGGAACGGTAAACATGGTAACGTTCGGTGCCAATTTCCAAACCAGTGACTGTAGAGAAAATGGTCGACCGTCCGACGGTAACGGTCGACCGTTCCAAACATTTTCCATGACGAAAAATCTAGTTTTGAACCTATAAAATCCTTTTTTATACCATTCAACTATGATCAATATGAAAGTGATTTTTGGAAATAAAAATGATGTTTCGACCAATCCAAAAACCTTGTGCGATGAATGACGGTAAGCTAGGGTGTAAACACTCGACGATAGGTTGCTATTTGTTATTGAATATTATGATTATTATTATTGATTGTTGATCATGATGATTAAACCTTGATAAATATCCTGATTAAACTGATGATTATGAATGATTGCACCATGATTAAAAATAAAAATATTGATGATTATGAAAATTATGTGTATTCCTAAGGCTATCTAGAAGAACTCTACAATAGGAGTAGTTTATTCCATCGAACAACGGTGGCCTCGTGGTTGATTGTCCCTCGCTAACTCCTGCATTGAACATTCTAGTTTCCATTGATCTTTGAGTTCCTGAAAAAATAAGAAGTATTCGAAGAACTTCCTGCTCCGATATCAATTGTTAGACAAAAGTGCAACTCTAGATTGGGGGGGGGGTGAATAGAGTTGTTTGTTATAAAGTGCGTAAATCGCGTGTGTGATAATAAAAGAAAAATTACAGGAAAAGTGAAAAGAGCAAGGGAAAGGAGTATACCATGATTTATACTGGTTCACCACCTTGTGGCTAGTCCAGTCCTCCGAGAGACTCTCTCAAAGGTTCTACTTAACTTCAAGCTTCAACGGGTGCTTGAAAAACCGATACAACTCGAGAGCTTGAATCACACAAACCTCAACTTCTTACAACAAGACTTGAGTCACACAAGTCTTAAGAACAACAAGACTTGAATCACACAAGTCTTATCAACACTCAAACAAGATTGAGTTTAAAACACAAGGATGAATGCTCACACAATTGAGCAAGTAGTGTTTGAAATATTAAAGCTCTATGGATGACAAGATCTTTAGCACTCAATGAAAATATTTCTAACTCTTAAAATAATGTATTTGATGAGAAAGAAGGTGTTAAAATAATAGACCAACTCTAGAGGGGGGTGAATAGCGTTTGATCGGAGAAATCGCAGGAATTTAAAAACTAAAAGAGAAGTAAAGAGAAGAGTAAAAGGCACACCGAATTTTACCCTGGTTCACCACAACTTGTGGCTAATCCAGCCTCCCGAGAGACTCTCTCGAGCTACACTACTATCTCGTTAAGCTTGCGGGTGCTTAACAAACCGTTACAACTTGAGAGTTCGAGTCACACGAACCTCAACGAATCCTTCAAAGGAAACAGACCTTCCTTTGAATCAACGAGAGAAATACTTTCTCTCAACGTGTCTAAGAACACAAGTACACTCAAGAACGAGACTCTCTTGTAGAGTAGATTATGAGTAAACTAAGTACGCTCAAGAACAACTCAACCTTCACACACAAATGGCTCTAGAAAGCTATGGAAAATTATGATATTTGAATGCAATGAAAGTATGGATGTTGTGAAGTGAATTGGTGAGAAAAGCAGACCCAAACACCCCTTTTTATAGTGCCAAAATAGGCTCCAACGGACCAATACATTAAAGGGGTGATTGGCTTGATTTATGGGATTGAATAAATTTAGGATCTGCAGGATATTGGCTTCCCATCGATGTTTAGACTCAACCATCGCTGGTAAGCCAATTTTCCTTCAGTTTTGAAGTCAACGGTCACCTACCCATTGATGGGTACAAGCTTCCCATCGCTGGGTGGGAGGTTGACTTCCAAACAAGGAAAGGATCAACCTTTAATGACCACCAACGGTCATGCCTTCCCATCGATGGTATACCCTTACCATCGCTGGGTTCCCATCGATGGGATTGGTTTCCCATCGCTGGGCAAGGTCGTTCTACCTTGTGTTAATATTGCACCAAGGCTTTAACAGCGATGGGTAGAACTCCCCATCGCTGTTTGGCATGGTTCTGGAAACTGGTTTGGCTGAGGGGCCGCTTACCCATCGATGGGAAGATATTCCCATCGCTGGGTGGGTGGTTAGTCAAGAACCCATGGTTTTTGCGTTAACCACGGCCTAGCCAACCGATGCGAAACCCGACCGAAAAATTCAAAGTTCTCCAAAATAAAAAACCAAATGTTTAAAACACTTATTTGATGTATTTGGATAAGAAATCAAGTAAGACACTTTAAAAACTACGTCATTTGAGTGAAAACCACGGCTAGCCAAGTTTTTGCCGTTTTGAATGATTTTTGTCAAACGAC